TTGTTCAGAACTCCTGACCTTGAGCGATCCACCCACCTCGGCCTCCCAGAGTGCTAGGATTACAGGCGTGAGCCACCGTGCCCAGCCCCTTTCCTGTATCTTAAAGCTTTCTTCTCCTGGCCCCTTCTCTCCAGGGCTCAAATTTCTCCCATCCTAAACATTCCTTTCCTCAGTGCTGCTCCTTTCTTAAGCACAGATATTCTGGAAGAGCGATCTGCAGTCTCTGGCTCTACCTGCTTAACTATCATTCTTTACAAGTCCATTTCCATTCTCACCACTGTCCCATCCCTGCTCTGAAACTGTTGTTACATAAATCTCCACTGATTTCCGTTTGCCAGTTCCTGCAAAGGTCCCCTTTTGGCCTCTGTCTCCCTTTTTTTTTTTTTTCGAGTCTACCATTTCTGAGGCAATAGTCATTCCTAATCCAGCACTCAGAGGAAAGTTCTTATGCATTTTGACTTTGGTGCTCAGGGTTCAGGTGTGTTCACTACTGTGAAGCTTCCTCTTGTTTTGGTATATAATTTATGTGTCACTTTAAACACTGAATCTCTATTAGGATGGTGGTAGTTTTCGTTCTCATAGACCAGACTGCCTTGTGTGTATGGTGACTCTCATAGAACCACATGTTTTCCACTCCCTCCCCCTGACCTTTTTAAACAAAAGTAAAAAATTTATTAAAACTAGTTCTTAAAAAGTAAAATCTTACCTTGTATTTGTGCAAAAATATCATATTACTCAGCTTGCTTACTTTTTCTTACCCAACTTAGTGACCTTGGGTTTTGAACACCATCGTTACAAAGATCCGCCTCTATGGATATTGAAACAACTATACCAATATGTGAGGCAGCTTCCAGTGCCTAAATGGGTCCTGACACATAGGAAGTGCTCGGTAAATATTTGCTGGATGAACGAATTTCACGAGCAGCCCTAAGAGATGCCTCAACAGAAGCAACTGGAGCTGCTGCAGTTCCAACTGAAGAGCTGGAAACATGCCCCATCTTATATCCCAGTCGGTTGGGTTGAAAGGCTTAATTATGAGCAAAATGCTTAGGTCTGGATGCTACTGTAGTCCCTTCAAAACTTTGTAAATAGTTATTCTTTTTGTATATTTCCTAGAGGGAAAAAACAGTATAAACCATTGAAAAGTCAAGTTGGATTCACTTTTGCCCCTACAACCAGGGAAAACATCAATTTTATTCTTCTTAATTAAAAATTCACATATTTAAATAGTCCATACTGTCTCTGTACCCTTAACCTTTCTGCAGTGTTTCTGAAGATGGGGGTCTTTGCTTTTGCTTTATATGGAGCATTGATGCAGTGAGAAAGTAGGCATTCTGTGTGCATTGGACTCTAGAATTGAGGTTTTAGAGAGTGTTTTGGTTTAGTAAGGTCACGGGATTGCTATTGAAGATCTGGCTGAATCTCAGAGACCACTGGAAACCTGTTGTTGACCCTGCTCTTTAGTCTTACCTCTCAGCACTGAGTGTCATCTCTGTGTATTTAAATTATCTGTGCTAATGGAAATGACTGCCTAGTTCTGTCGAAATTGGTGTCTGTAACTGATAATGTATTTCTCAACTCTTGTTCACAGAGGGACCTGTCAGGGCACAAGAACATCGTGGGTTACATTGATTCTAGTATCAACAATGTGAGTAGCGGCGACGTATGGGAAGTTCTCATTCTGATGGACTTCTGTAGAGGTATGTATATGAACCATACCCTTAAACTCTCATTTCTCTAGCATTTTGATTGTCAAGAGCATGGGGGTCATTTCACTTAATGTGCACTACACCCTAAAGTATGTTGTTCTGGTTTTACAGATGAGAAAATTAAGAGGTTAAAAGACACCGAGTTCGCTATCAACTCTTGGTTATTCTTATAATGGCAAAGAGCAGTGCCACAAACAATTGAAAGTGATGGATAATATAAAACTCAATTTTTGTTAGGTTTAGGAAGATTTGATGCTTGTATATAAATGACATGTAAGAATGAGAATGAATATGTTCTCTGTGACACTTGAAAACAAATGATGAAGGAACATAATAAAGACCCAACTCCAGATGGACTAAAGACACAATGCAGCCTCCCACCTTCCTCACCCATGTGTTCTCCTTTCCCATTCACACCACCGTACTTGTGTTATGGGGTAAAAGAATCCTTTTCATCTAATGGAATTGACTCTCCTGTCCTTGTTCTCAAGCTGTAATTCCTAGTAAGGTGAAGCTACGTTCAAATGATGCTGCTGTTAACAGTAGAGTTAAGTAGTTGAAAGCTTGAAATTTCAAAAAACATTTATCGTGGGAAATTCAAACCATAGCATGAATTTATCCAGAGTTGACTGTATTTTATAAAAATCATGGTTTGGAGGTTTGGCTTAGGTCATTGTCTTACTGTTTGGTGCCCTGTTTTGTAATCACCCTTAGTTCCACTAACTGTTTTCCCTGTCCTTAAAGGTGCTGTCTATAAATTAAATATGTTGCTAATCTCAAAAATGTAATGTTAACCAGTAATTTCAGCGTTCACTGTATTAACTATTAACCTGATTTTCTAAAATACTACAAAATTTGAGCTTGACAGTTTGTTTTTGTTCGCCCATTCCTTTTTGGATAGTAAGTTGTTTAGAGACCAGGTAATAGGAACATCCAGGGATCTGGATAATTTTCTAAGTGAGGTCATCAATCTTTTTGTTCTGGAGAGTAAATGTTGGTACAGCATTTCCGCAAGCCAAGCAATAAGTAGTGAAGCCAGAGAGACCGAGTGTTTCTTAAGTACAGACTGTAAAACTGTCTTATTCCTGCTCCCTGGATCTATTGTGCTATCTGATTCTCACTCAGAGATATGCAAGTTGCTGCTGTGGCCTCATCTCGTACACAAATGGGACAGTATAACCAGGCAACTACAGCAGGGCCATATTGTCAGTTCTACTATAATCTTGAAGACATAATGGGGACAGCTCACGTCTGGAGTGCTTTGTAAAATAAAGAAACTGTTTTTGACACGTTAGAGGAGGCATTGGATTATAAGAAAACAAATCCCAAGCTGGGAGTCAAGACACCTGGATTTTAGGCCTGGCTTCGCCAATGATCAGCTCTGTTACCTTAGTCCATGCTGCTCTCTTTGGACAGCCATTCATTCTCTCGGGCTAGGTGACAAGTCTGAATGTTTATAATCTCTCCTTTGCTCTGCACCCATCTCAGGAGGCCAAGTGGTAAACCTGATGAACCAGCGCCTACAGACAGGTTTTACAGAGAGTGAAGTGCTCCAGATATTTTGCGATACTTGTGAAGCCGTTGCCCGCCTGCATCAATGCAAAACTCCTATTATCCACCGTGACCTGAAGGTAACAGATCACACTCTTTCCTTAAGTATGTTCTTGCTGAGTATCTTCTATCTGCCCCCAGATAGAGTGATACTCTGGGGATGTGAGAGAATTTGAAGGCATGGTTCCTAAGTCTAAGCTTATATTCTGCCTGGGAAAAGAAAATAACAAAGGAAAAAGTACAGTATAGGTATCAATTTTGTTACTTAAAATAGCCTCCAGAAATCCTTTAAATTATCAAATGCCTAAACCCATGTTGTTTTTATTTTTCCTGATAAACTCCCAAATTCACTTTTCTAGGTTCTTGAAAAGTAATATGCTAATTTAAATAGTTTGTAAACAACGATGCTTGGTTTTTAAAGTCTCTTTCATATTTTACAAAATCCGTCAATTGATTGTTTTTAAAATTTGTCCTAGTTGTCATCCCTTGCACTGTGCCTTTCACACTGTAGCCACTTGACAATGTTCGTTGAATGGAATTGGTACCTTGCCAGGGTTCAGCTTGGCATTTATTGAGCACCAGCTATGTGCCATGTACTCTACTACACTTTATACACAGTACCTCTTTGGAAGGGAGACGTTCCTCATTACATTTTACAATTGAGGAAACTAAGGAGCAGAGAGGTTGTATGACTTTCATGAGGTCATGGAAGTAGGAAGTAGCAGTATCAGAATTTGAATCTAGCCCTTCAGATTCTAAATTACAATTCCACACTGAATCTATTGGGCTAGAATTTTGGTGGTGATATCAGAGAGGGCTAAGAATTCATATCTTAATAAGCACCCAAGATGGGTTTTGTATACTCTCAAGTTTGAGGATCAAGGCAGCATACTTGTATTTTTTTAAAACTTTTTTTAAAAAAATTGACATATAATTCACATACCACAAAATTCATCCTTTAAAAAGAAAATTAAATAGAGACAAATTCTCCCTGTGTTGCCAAGGCTTGTCTTGAACT